AAAATATTGGCAAACCACATCCAACAATACATTAAAAAGATCATACACCATGATCAAGTGGAATTCATCCTAGGAATATAAGGATGGTTCAATATTTGCAAATCAATAAATGTAATACATCCCACAAACAAAAGCAAAAACAAAAATCACATGATCATATCAACAGATGCAGAAAAAGCTTTTGATAAGGTACAACATCCATGTATGATAAAAACACTCACCAAAGTGGGAATACAGGGAGCATTCCTCAATATAATAAAGGCCCTATATGAGAGACCTACAGCCAACATCATACTCAATTGGCAAAAACTAAAAAATCACTAAAAGCTTTTCCACTAAGATCAGGAACAAGACAAGGTTGTCCAGTTTCACCACTTCTATTCAATATAGTATTGGAAGTTTTAGCCATAGTGATCAGACAAGAAAAGAAGATAAAATGCATCCAAATCAGAAAGGAGGAAACAAAACTGTTCCTGTTTGCAGATGACATGATAGTGTACATGGAAAATCTTATAGACTCTACCAAAAAACTGCTGGACCTAATAAATAAATTTGGCAAAACAGCGGGATACAAAGTCAATATCCGGAAATCAAAGGCATTTTTGTATACTAACAGTGAAACAGCAGAAACACAAATCAAGAAAAAAATCCTGTTCGATGTAACAAAAAGAAAAATAAAATATCTGGGAATAAACCTAACTAAGGAGGTAAAAGACCTGTATGCAGAAAACTACACAACACTGAAGAAAGAAATCAGGGAAGACACAAACAAATGGAAACATATACCGTGTTCATGGATTGGAAGAATTAACATCATCAAAATGTCCTTACTACCCAAAGCAATTTACAGATTCAATGCAATACCTATTAAAGTACCAATGGCATATTTCACAGACACAAAACAAACACTTCAAAAATTCATATGAACCATAAACGACCCCCAATAGTAGCTGCAATTTTGAGAAAGAACAACAAAGTAGGAGGGATCACAATACCTGATACCAAACTGTATTACAAGGCCACTCTAATCAGAACATCCTGGTACCGGCATAAAAGCAGGTATATAGACCAATGGAACAGAACAGAGAGCCCAGAAATAAACCCAAGTCTCTACGGTCAATTAATATTTGACAAAGGGGGCAGCAACATAAAGTGTACTAAAAATAGTCTCTTCAACAAATGGTGTTAGGAGAACTGAATAGCTACAAAAATGAAACTCAAGCACCAACTTACACTATACACCAAGATAAATTCAAGGTGGATACAAGACTTAAATATAAGCCGTGACACCATTGAAATCCTAGAGGAGAACATTGGCAGGAAAATCTCAGATAATTCATGCAGAAACATTTTTATTGATATGTCCCCTAGAGCAAGGGACATAAAGGAAAGAATAAACAAATGGGATCTCATCAAAATTAAAAACTTTTGCACCGCTAAAGAAAACAGTATTAAAATGAAAAGAGAACCAACTATGTGGGAAAACATATTTGGCAATGATACTTCAGACAAGGGTTTATTCTCCAAAATATAGAAAGGACTTACAATACTCCCCTCTAGGAGGACAAGCAACCCATTTACAAAGTGGGCAAAGGACTTGAATAGAAACTTCTCCAAAGAGGACATATAGAGGATGCAGAGACACATGAAAAGATGGTCAATATCGCTAGTTATCAGAGAGATGCAAATTAAGACCACAATGAGATAGCACCTTACACTGGTCAGAATGGCCATCATAAACAATGTAACACAGAACAAGTGTTGGAGAGGTTGTGGAAAAAAGGGGACCCTAGTGCATTGTTGGTGGGATTGCAGACTGGTACAACCACTATGGAAAACAGTATGGAATTTTCTAAGAAAACTAAGAATGAATCTGCCTTTTGACCCAGCAATTCCACTGCCGGGATTATATCCTAAGAACCCTGAAACACCAATCCAAAAGAACCTATGCACCCCAATGTTCATAGCAGCACAATTTACAGTAGCCAATAGTTGGAAGCAACCTAGGTGCCCAGCAGTAAATGAATGGATCAAAAAACTATGGTACATTTACACAAGGGAATTCTATGTAGCAGAAATAAAGGAGTGCCTACCCTTTGCAACAGCATGGATGGAACTGGAAGACATTATGCTGAGTGAAATAAGCCAGGCAGTGAAAGACAAATACCATAGGATCTCACCTTTAACAGGAACCTAAACAACAAAACAAACAAGCAAGCAAAATATAACTAAAGACACTGAAATAGAGAATAGGCTGACAGTGACCAGAGGGGAGAGGGGAGGAAATATCAGGGGAAAAGGTGAAGGGTTTACAGGAACAAGTATAAATGACACATGGATAAAAACTAAGGGGGGGTGGAAATGGGAGGGAGGTGAGTAGCACTGGGATGGTGGGTTGGGATGGGAGTAAAAGACAGAAAACTGTACTTGAACAACAATTAAATAAATTATTAAAAGAATTAGTACATGAAAATAGCAGTATGAAATGCCAGTTATACAATGTATTAAACAGCAATTTAATTTAAAACTCAGTGTTGGAGTCTTAAATTAGGCACAGAAGAAATAAGAGAGAAAAAGTAACAATATGTCAAACAAAATTCAGGTGGCTAGATACACCTATGGATTTCAATGCAAATCCTGGCAAACACTCAAGGCAATTTTTAAGAAAAATTTTCGTGTGACTTTAATTTCAAACACACTTAAACAACAATACTTTCTGTGGGGATGGCAAATATCAGTATTAGCAAATCAAAATCCAATTTTACAAAAATTACTGTATGTAGTTAGGGATAGATATATTTACTTTTTGGTAATATATATTAAGTGGCACTAATTACACTATAACTGTAAGGCAACTAACATGAATCCACAGAACTGTAACTCTGCTACAGCTACATGGAATTGGGCCTTTTCTGGATGAACACATTCTGAAAAAACTGGATGCCCACTCCAATGGTATGCCAATGAAATCTGTTCAGAAGTAAAGCTCTGAAGTGGGGACTCACCAGTGTACCTGGCAGCTGACAGATGGCAGGCAAGACATATCAGTTATGAAGTAGTTACAGAATTAATTCACAAAAGTTACCATTACTGTTTCTAGAGAGAAGCAAGAAGTTAAGAAATTCCTTGAGCTAGAAAGGTGTCAGAAGGACCCTGGCAGGTCAGGCAGGTAGGACATCATTGATAACCATGGTTGGCTTCTATATACTGGTAGCAAAATACTTCTGACTGTGATCTTAGGCAAATTATAGATAAATGAAAAAGGCCAGTAATCATACCCTAAGAGTAATAAACAGAACTTCAAAATAAACTACATGATGATTGTTCTTGCAGCAGGGTTTCACAAGGCAAAGCATCCAGATTTTTTTCCTCCCAAGTCTGGCACACAGAGCAGCTCTTGTGGCCATTTCAAAAACCTCCCTCCCTCCATCTTTGGTCTTTACTGATGAACATTCCATGTATCTAAAAGCACCAATCCTGTTTGCTATATCCCTGCCTTCCTCCGATTTTACTGGCTCCTGCTTCATCTTGACTAACTCCCATCTTGTGTGCTCATCATTCCAAAGATCCTCCTTGTTCCCAACCAGGATGACAGGCATGCTGGGACACAAATGCTTGACTTCCAGAGTCCATTTTTATGGGATGTTTTCTAAACTAACACGGCTGTCAATGGAAAAACATGTCAGTATAACATCGGTGTCTGGGTAGGAGAGAAGCCTCAAGTGATCATAATCTTTCTGCCCAGCTGTGTCCCACAAAGCCGACTCTACTTCAATATCTGTCACACAGTTCTCAAATATTGTAGGTGCATATATCTCTAGGAACTGGTCCTTGCTAAAAACAATGAGCAAGCAAGTCTTGCCACAGGTTCCACCACTAACTATCACCAATTTCTTCCAGATGGTAGCCATTATTTACAAATGTGCTGTAAGATTCACCATCTACCTGTGTGGTAGAAGTTGTACAAAGTGCCTTGAACTTCTGATAAAAGGCACTCAGACAACGCTCCGGCTCTGGCTCCCACCTCTCTGCACTGAGGATGCCTGTCAGTGGGTCACAAGCTTGGAGACAAGGGTGGGTGGCTGAGGAGGGGGCAGTAGACTAAAGAGAGAACCCACAGAGGATGGCAGGCGGATGGTAGGGAGTGAGAGGGAGCGAGGGTGGGGGGCAGCAGGCCAGTAAAGCTAATTTTATTTAAACCACTTGAAAAGGAAAAAAAATGAATCTGAACGGTTAACTGTTATAGTAAGTACAAATATAAGAAGCCCTTTAAGCTTAAATGTATGAGTGTCCTCTCAAAAGGCATTAAGATATTGCCCTAACAGTGGAAGTTAATGTGGAGATTGCAAATAAATTCTTTTTTAAGCTCTTAATACCCATTTAGTCAGTCCACGTGCTTCCAATTTTTCAGTACAAGAATTCTGCACATTAGTAAAATATATATTCACTTTATGGTTAAAATGTTAGTGTTCTAACATTTCAAAGTATTTTCTACTAGACTTCTAATAACTAAGACAATAATGAAAAAATGTTGATAATGTACACTTAAAATTCTATCTTTACCACAGACATCTCTTTATGTTCTAACATTTTAAGAAAATATTTCCTACCCGACTTCTAATAAACAAGGCAATAATGAAAAAACATTATTGATAATGGTCACTTAAAATTCTCTATTACATACATATAAGTCTGCGCCACCATTTACTAGAATGCTAATAAAAGTCTAAGAGACAAGTCCTGCTCATGACTGTGTATGTGCTGAAATATTAGTGAGGATATGATTTTTCACACTCTGGCCTTTTGATGAAACGCCTTCCCAATACCAGTGTGTCATCTTATCCTACAATTTCACACATCAGCTGCCAGGGCATCTATCTGAGAGCCCAGTTTCACATTGCACTAATGAGTCAACACCTGTTAAGAGTGGAGAAATCTGAACCTTGTTAGCAATTGTGAAGCCTCCTGGGAGCTTGGATGCTGAGCATTGTCATACTCACCGCCAGCATGTCTGTACCGAGAACCCTGGCAGCAGCCATGATAAAATCCCCCACCAGCATTGAAAAGCCAGGCAAACCCAGGGAAAAAAAACGGGGTGGACAGTGCCTTATAATGGTATTTAAGATATCCTAAAAGGGAAGAGAAAAAAACACAACTGTAATTTTCAATAACAAAATTGTAAAGGAGTCAATTAGTCTCTACATGACCACTGTAAGATAATCTAAGAGAACACAGATCACAGAAAGTTCTCAGTAAAGGGGGTCCTTGGAGATGAGTTAGTCCAAGGGCTACTGTATCCATTTTACATATAAGAGAATTGGGACACTAAACTTTAAGATGACTTGTCCAAAATCTAAATTGTGGCATTGAGCCTAGACACTTCTTACGTCTTCCACCTAAAGGTGAGCTCTCTGGACAAGTTACAGAACTGTTAAGGTAAATATACAAATAAAACCTTTGAACATCTATCACTTTCCATATTCTTCAATTTCCATAAGTTAATATACTGTTACATTAAAAATCTTACAGCAGGCAAAAAGATGGAAATTTTTACTCTTTAGGTAATTTCATGGGTTAAACTATAGTGCTATGGTAGTATTGTGATTAGTCATATTCTAAGGTCAGGTAGTTGGTGTGGCTGTCAGTATAAGTGTGATTGTGAGGTCTAAGTACAAAGTCCAGTAGTAGCCTTTTTTCACAGTGTGCAGTGCAAAGAACACCAACTTCCCAGATACCTGGTAGTCCTGTGTTTGGAACAGCCTCTCACTGGTGACTGGATAGCTGGCCCCTGACCACCAGCTCTGTTCTGAGGCAGTCACCCATTCAGCTTGTGGCAAACCAGACCAGGACTCCATCGGACAGTATTCATGCCACCCATGGTCAGACCACATCTATGAAACCATCTGTGTAAGTGTGTGTGCTTAAGGGGGATCAATAAGAAAACCAAAAACTACTTTTATGTAGTTCTAGGCAATGCACATTAATCAAACAGGCTAATGCACTATACCTATGTTACTAATAGTTGTACAACCTATAGTCAGTCTGAAAATACAAAAAACAATTTCGTTTATTTTCTCAGATTTCAGTGTGGCTGTTTCAAAAATCCTTCAAAATAATCTTAATTTAATTTGATTAGAGCAAAGTAGTAGCAATATGCTGAATTCTAACATAAGTCTTCTGTAATAAAAATAACCTCACTTCTTATCTAAAAAGAGAATTTTTTGCTCATAAAAAGACAATTTTTGTTTTCCTTATATACTGGACTCATTTTGTTTCTACAAATTTCGCTGTTTATATGCTTAAATCAACTGTCCAATGCTTACTCTATTACAGCTCATATACAGTAAATAGTTCAGCAAGTCCTAATTTAAAATTTTAGAATTTTAGCAGACTTTCACCTCTACAGAAAAATAAATATACAGATAAAATGAAGGAAGGAAGGAAAGAAAAACCTGAACCACTTCTTCCAAGTTAATGTTTAAACCTGCTTTAATCACATCCTTTGATACACTTTAGGGTCCATATCAGCCAAGGCAAACATTCTAAGGGGCTTAGCAGATGGATGCTGCAGTTTAAAAACTGTGTGGTAAACTCATGCTCCAAGAGGAACAAAAGATCCACCTTCTTCATAATTAAGCCTCTGATTAATGCCCTGGCTCCCCACCACACACCTGTAATTACTCACAGAGGTACGCATTGTGCTGGGCCTTGTCTCAGAATATCAAGCATCAAGCTATCCAGCAGCAGATGGAAGCACATTTCTGTTGACATATGCTACAATGAAAGGATTCGTGCAAACCTGGCTAGCAAGGTAGCAGAATGCCATGCATTTGAAGATTAATAATGCAAACAACCATGATGTTAACTTTATTATGTTTATAGTGTTAATTCCATCTGTTGAGATAGGAACTAAGCCTTGAACACTACAGATTTTTAGTATCTTTAGCCCATACTTAAATCAAACAAGCCATTTTCACAACTGGAATTTAGAATTTTAATTTAAAAATGTTTTTTCTGGGATAAGTTTATGGTAATTACGAATGAAATCCTTTAATAAGCTAACACCAAAATTTGTAAAAGAAATCCATTCTGTTTTATAACATTCATATGTACACAGGCAAATGATCTGTAAATGGGGCATTCACAAAAAATTACTAAGTTGGCATTGATGCTAAAGACAGCAGAAATGCATGTAGCCAAGGTAAAGTCACACAGTTCCCCGTACCCCTGGACCCTGGCCAGTCACTTCAATGGAACCTGTTTCTATGGGCAAGAAGACTAGAAAGACAGAGCAAAATAACAGATGGCTAGCCTACCGTATCCTGCCACCCACATAAGACAGAGCCCCAAAAAGAAGCAGAGCCTGTGCTGCAGAGGTCAGTTAGACAGGATTGGAGTAAGTTAATGTGTGGGTTAAACAGAAAAATATATGGCCAGTCCGCCAAATTATGGCCATGTGCCTGCTTATTTTGCTTATCTACACTGAAATGGAGTAACCCAAAGATTTCACCTTTGTGGTTAACATTTTAAAATTAGGAATAACTTTGTGGTACTCAAGAGAGCTGTATATTCTCAACAGAGGGACATCCAAAAAAATGTTCCACTCACTTCTAGTAGACTCCTTTCACCTTCCCCTTAATACATCAAGATCATAGCTATAAATGGAATCTTTGGAAAAATAAAAATCTCGAGACTCTGAAATTTTCTTCCCAGTCGCCAGGACTGTACATATAGATAGCACAGAACACTGCTTCCCAAATGCCTAGTATTCACGTATAACCTCATGCTATTGTCATGTCCACATCCAAAGTGAGTATTATTTGCCCATTTTCAAAGTACTTTTTTGAACCTAAATAAAATTATTCTGGAAAACCAGTATCCTGTGTTGTAAGCAAAAAATACCCAGAAGAGTCAAAGGACTGGAAGGAGGCCCTTATTCCCACTGCACGATTTGAGGCTATTCAGTATCACCTCCATTGTGACCACCAGTGGGAAATGTCTCTCTAGAACAAAGACCACGAGGCGTGAGTTCAAGGGTTAGTATATGTGATCCTTGAGTAGATTGTGTCATGCCTAGAGCTTCACATTTCTCTCCCATAAAATGGGATGATTTCCTTTTACAGAGCTGTTATCTAATGATATAATAGAAGTGAACACATGCCTCTGTACAATAAAAAGGGCCATACAAGTGACAAGTAAAAAAAAATTTTTTAATAGGACTATGAAAGATTTTACTTTCTAGAATTTACTTTGCAAAATTCTATGAACTATTGTTTTGACGACATTCAGAAAGAACACTCAAAAACATTTCAAAGTTGGCACAAATAGTGTCTTAGATTACATTATCCCAGAACTTAAAAAACTGTAGACATTAATGCTTTCAAGTAATATCCTTAGCAAAGCATTACAACAATTAGCCATAATGTTTACAGTACGTGAAAGAAAAACAGGAAAATGATCTTTATGTATTTCCTAGGTTCCATTCTTCTTCTATTTACCCTATACAAGTGATTCCAGTAGCAAAAAAATTAGTTTATTTTTCACACTCTAAGCAGACTAAAAAATAAATCACTAAGCAATAAGCTCAATGAAAAACAGGAATGGTTTACTCTTGAAAATTCATCAGTTTAAAACACAGACAAAACTCACAAGCTTTTCAAGGGAAATAAAACTCATTTTTCAAAATGCTGTCATATAGTAAACAGACCACAAAAATAGTATTTTTCTCTTGTTTTTTGCTGAAAATCCACACGCATGCTACATACTGAGTGTGAAAACTAGACTGTAAGATGATAATTGTGAATTTTCAGCTTATCGAAAGATTTCAGGTTTATGAGAAAGTAACTGGTGAGAACATCTGTCTCTTATCACTCATCTTACAAAAAATCAGGTAATTCAAATAGAGGCGTGTTGTTTCCTCTCCTCCAAAGCACAGTTCTATAAACACAAACCACATTCGGCCTGGTAAATGAATCGCTTTAATTGAATGCTATGTACACAGTAACTGGAAAAACCGTAAGTGATAAGAAAAAACATATGGTGATGGCAACAGAAATTGGTTTATTCATTTTGCATAGTGTGGTTTCTTTAGTCCTCGTATAATTGACCTTTAGAACGATAAATGTGTAAAATAATTTTGTTTATTATGGTTCCAAACCTTCCAACAATTACACAAAATGAGAATTTTAAAAGGAAGGGTTCATTCCTGAAGCATTTCCATTGTTTACATAATTGCACAGCTATAATTTAGTGCTCGTGTTGTTATGGAAAATAAAAAAAAGGGCCATTACAGACCATTTCAATTCAAAATATCACACTGTGGTGTCAAAAATGAGGCAAAATGTTCACTTTAAAATAGTTTAAAATGGATTAAACCAGTAAACAAAGAGCATTTCAAAATAGTATTCTATGAAACACAAATGTTCAAGAAGTCCCCATCCTTCAAACACAATTAGAAATGTTGCAACTGTACTTTCACACCAATTACACATATATTATTCACTTAATATTTGCTCATGGCCCAGCAGATGATGGTTGTAACATAATAGCCAGCCATCTGTCTCCCAGGCTTTTCTTAGGGAACTCAGGCCTGCTCCTCAGGAGCAAACAGATCCGGTTATTCCACCTAAAGTCATTCAGACCTTCCAGGAGGCCAAAGAAAATTGTTAAGAAATTAAAATCTATGCATACAAAATCACTGAACTCCTCCTTCAAGTTTTTAAGAAAACCAAAATGCTACACAATTAGTAATTTAATCATTTTTTTCAGATAAGATACCTGTCTTTTATCTAGAAAATTCTATATGAAGCTCTTGTTTGGTCATAGGGGTAACATTCAGATCTGCTTATCCCATTAATCTGGTTAATAAAAAGGTGTGACTCATTCCACACCCACGTGGAATTACTAACTATCAAAAACTTTGAATAGAAAGTGGTATTTTTAACACTAAACCTAGATACAATTTAAGTTTTCTTTAACAATTCAAAAGGCAGCCATAATTCTGCAGTACCTAGAGAGCACATTTCTAGGTATGATTTATGGCCTTACTGGTAAAGCTCAGAAATGCTCAGTGACCAAAGGTTTTAGTTAAGCAGAAGCACAGATCTGAAGAGCCCTTAAAGTCTCAAGG